TAGCTGCAGGGTCTCCCTGCCCCTGGTTGGCAGCGGATCCACACTCCTGGCCAGCAGGGGCTCCGTGCCCTGCCAGTGCAGCTCCGCTCTTGGCTGGGAAGGCACCCTGTCTGCTCCTGCTCCGGCGGCCGGTCGGTGGCTGGGCTTTCTGCCTCCAGGCTCCCTGCTGGCTGAGCTCAAAGCTCCTCTGTAGCTGGGGCTCTCTGGTTGAGCAACATCCATGGTCCCACCGGATCACGGGTGTTGCTGGACCAGAGAGTCCTGGACCACAGAAGTACAACCTGTAGCTGTGTTGGTCTGTTTCAGCAAAAGCAACATGGAGCCCAGTGGCACGCTAAAGACTAACAAATGTATTATTCTTAAGGCACAAGCTTCCGTGAGATACAAGTCACTTTCTCCTATGCTTGCAGCGGAGGAAAGGCAGGGATGCAGGGATGGGAGCATAACATCAGAGCTAATTCAAGCAGGGTGGGTGTGGCTCGTCCAACAGAGATGAGGTGGTGGAGGTGAGTCAGAAAACACAGGTCTCTACAACTGGAGCTAAGACCATCACCAAGCAACCGTGGAGCAGTAGCAGAGCTCTCTCGTATGCCATCCGTTAGAGGGGGCAGTGATTATGAATTCAGAACACTTGATGCAGCCAGCCACACAAAGGGCAGCGTACCCCTTAACATAAGCCAGGATAGCAGGGGTGGAGGCTGCTGACCCACAGAAAAATCAATCGGGGGCCATACACAAGAGGGGAAAAAAGCCCTCGCTGACATGGCTTCTGACTGAGAAGGAGAAAGATTCTCCCCATATTCCCCTCGCACACCAGAGCCTAGGGGAGCCCAGGCTAATACATTTTGTGCACCCCAGCCCCATGGTGGGGGGACAGAGGGGCTGGAGCACCAGCACAGGCTCCCCAATGCTGGGGGGAGGCCTGAGCCTCGGGGGCCAGATCCAGACAAGCTGAGGACTGGATGCACCCCCCGGGCCTGAGACTCCGCCTCTGCAGTAAAGGATGCTCCCACAGAAAGAGGTGCCATTGTCCCAGAAATCCTGTACACAGAATCTGGAGTACACAGAGCTCCGCACTGTACCAGTCAGGACACTTTCATGTGATAGCTTCTTTTGTCGAGTTTCCAGGCCATGTATGTGATTGCGCCAGACTCACTGTTAAGATCACTAGCCGCGGCAAAGCAAAGCGAGAGCACAGCAATCCCGTGAACACACATGCTGGCGTGAGTCCGAACCATCAGTGCAACTGAGCCATACCTGAGTGCTGGAGAATGTCTACACATACCCTGTGGCTGCTCTAGCTTACATAAAGCAGTGCCTCCCTGGGGTGGTGTCCCATGCTGAGTGCAGGTTGGCCAGACCCAAGCTTTAGGGCCATTGCATCTGACAATGAAGCGATCTTGCAAAACCTGCAGCTGGCACAGCAGCAGTTGCTGTGACCACATCACTCCAGTGCACTACACCCTGCACTGGGCGTTATTCCAAGACCTTCACAGAACTGGCCCTAGGAATCTAAGGGATCACCATTCCCTGTGGAACTACAACTTGCAGGACAACACGCCTCCACCGCCCTGCAGCTATTGACCAACGTGGGGAAGGAAGCTCAGGAGTGTGGCAGACAGAACTTTGGACTATGAACCTCGCTCGTGGCAGAAAGAATGCCAGCATTCCCAGTAAGCTGAGCACTTGGGCAGCCATCGAGGAGAGGTTCAAATGCCGCCCCCCCCGATCAGCAGAACACCCACTGCACCTACAGCAGGCAGCATGTGTTTGTACTGGTGGTGCACACCTGCACATGCATTGGTGCACACAACAAAATTTATTCTACACATAGATGGAAACCATTAGAGGAAACACTGGATTTGACCGGGCTGGGAATGACAGACGAAATGCATCACTTCAGCTGAGCTTACCTTGCTCATTTCTTCACACACACGTGCACATAAACAAGCAAACAAAGAAACAGTCTGTCAACTAATCCAGCTATTTCTCCCAGCTCCTGGGAGAGAAGAGTCTGCTTGTCCTCACTAGGATTTCAACCACCACTCCTGTAGCAGCACCAGAGCAAACCCCTAATGCACCCTTGTATGACTTGTGCGATACTATAAGCCCTGGGATTTGACATGTGAGCTGCTCTTACTACTCAGGTGCCCCTAAAATAGGGGCTGAAATTTCTCTTTTGGCAATGCAAGAGATTGATTCGAATTCCAGTCTGGGAATTTCTAGCAATGGGTAAGTGAGTTAGACACCCAAAGGCCATTGAAACCCAGTGGAAGATGGACACTTAATTGCCTTAAGCATCTTTGAAAATCCTAGCCTCTCTTCCTGAGCAGAGGGAGCATGTGAACACCCTGGTGATGAGAGAATACAAGGGGTGGAGGGATGGAATAATGTTCCTGTGATACAAAGTCTGCAATTATGCATGAAGAACCTTTATGTGGTTTAGAATTAAGCCAGCTTAGCTGTGGCCAGCTCTGGCAAAGGCTCCTGTTTTCCAACTGAAGTCTTGTTCTTATTATCCCGTTTTAAAGGTTTTGCAGATACAAGATCAGGGCCCTTGACGGAATACAAGGCTTTATTCAGTTTGAATCTTCGGCTGCCATTCATAAAAACGAGCAAAGCTCCTTCAGTGACTCAGAGCCTTGAGTTCAGAGGAGCACAGTGTATTGTTCTAAAGGTAAACAAATTTCACAGTTTATTAGAGTTATTCACCCAGTGTGTGTCAAAGAGCTTGTTTAAGTTTAAAAAGCTTTTCAAAGCCATGGAGCCATTTATCTGATTATTGTGGCCTATGGATGTTTTTAAACACACTAAGTTCTCTGTTATTTGCTTACATGGCCCCTTGTACTGTGCTGGATGTACTGCACAAGCAGCCAGGAAGGGGTTTGCAAGTTTCTTCACAAGCCACCTTCTCGTGCGCCAAGGTATTTTATTTTATTTTACCAACATGAAATGGCTCATAGACATGCAAGAGCTTATTGTAAAAATTTATATTTCCCTGGTGTCTTTTCGTGTCAACAGATGACTTTACCAGCAAGTAATGAGTTTGCACTAAGCTGGGCAGACACAAATAATGAAACGTGTGTGGATAACTCAATGTGGTATGAGCCCATATGTATCTCAAAGGATTCCAAGGCACCTCTGGAGAACAATAGCCATTTATGAAATAGGTTTGCCACTTGTAAGGTTAGAGATTCTTTAAAAAGGCATGCGACAAACTGTAAGCTTTTACGTAGATCCTAAATCAAGACTCAAAAGCCTCATAGCCAATAACTTCAAAGCTAAACATTCCAAAGTCTCCAGAATATTCAAAGCTAGAGTTGTGGTAGGGACCAATTAAATGAGTCAAATCTGGTCTTTGTAAATCAAGCTGTTTTTGACAAAAAGTTAGTTACAGGTTTAACAACATAGATATAAAATATACAGTATAAATTGTAACTCACTTTTTACCGTAAAACTTATTTTAGCAACTTCCCTGACTTTCTCAGAAAAAAATATTCCACCTGAAATTGCTCATGTGTGGATTTCTACATGGGAGAAGCCATTTGCGGAAATCCAAAAGATATTTCACAAAGAGCTCATAGAGCATAAGCATTTTATAATTAGATCTAGTTTGCATTTGTAACGTGTTTCCTTATTGTATTTAGAGCAATAGCTCTCGCAGCCATTTTGGTTTGCAAACACCAGCTCTGCCTGATTTCACTGTGCACAGCAACAGCTGTAGCCTTTGAATATTTTAGGGATTTTTGAATGGTTAGCTTCAACGTTACTTGCTAAGAGGCTTTTGAATCTTGGAGAGCTGAGAATTTAGTAAAAGTTCTGCCAAAAGCAGCAAGTTTTATCTCTGACTACCTATGCTTCAAAGCACCATGTCAGTAGCCAATGTTTACTAGAGAGACGGCTGCACCAGCCTCTTCCCTTCTCCTCCAGCGATGCTCCCTTACACTGGGGACAAAGGGCTGTGGGAGCTCATATTATTATTGTGTACGGATGGAGTATGCAGTTGTAGAGATGAAAGGCCATCCTCCATCTTGGAAGGCAGAGTTCTGGACTGCAGGGATAGATCAGGGAACTGCAGACAACAGGGTATAGTTACCCTGGCTTAAATATGCTTAAACAGAAATAATATAATTGAGAGGAACAATACAGGAATTGGCTTAGATGCTGCCAGTCACAAATTAGGCTAGCAGTAAGGCTGCTGGGTAAGCTGGCACAATATGGCCAAGGTGCCAAAGGGAATCAAACACACAATTCTCATTCATTTTTTATGAGAATTTTGGAATCCAAATTCCCTCCGTGGCACTAAAAATCATAGCCTATATTTAGGACTCACTTCACCACTACTGCACTGCAACCCAGGCTGGAGTGGAATGTGGCAGCTCTTTAAGAGCACACAGCACCACCGAACCCCACCCAGGAACAGGAAAAGGAGATTAATGTCTTAGCCAATTGAAACTATAAAGAAAACTTGTCATGCAGGCAGAATGGAATTAATCAAGGAATTCAGGGCTAACAATTCTAGCAAAAAGTTCTGTTCTAGTCAGGTTCTTTCACCACCAGTTATTGAGATGGTATCTGGGTACCTGGAAGTGCCATTGGATATTTAATAATCAGGATCTCAGTTTCACAGCTCATCTGAAATATGATCAGTTTTTGCCATGAATAATATATCCATGAGTATGTTTAGTCAGCTGCTCTGGAGGGGAAGACTCTTCAGAGTCATTTCCTTTGAAACACCTTTTGCACTATGCACAGTTTCTTCAAGACCAGTCTTAGAAGAAGGTATTTTTCATCTCATGGAAAGAGTTTCAAGTAGGTGGAGCATCATTCCATGTGGCCTCATCGCCTCAGAGACTCACACTGCAACTTTGCTGTTTTCCCAGTAAACACAACTTATAGAAACACCTTGATCCTTGATCTACAAACTACCAAATATATCCAAGCTTTGTGCAAGGACATCCCAGGAACCTACACACGAGAGTCCTGGGAAGCTGCTATATGAGGCCTGTGGTATCTTTGCATTCCCCTTGAAAGCCGTTCCCATGAAGATACAGCAGGATGTGAAGAAACCTGCCTCTCATAGCCAGATGCCCATGGAAAAAATGCTAATTCACTGAGGGAGACAGAGGCTCTCACATATAGGACTTGGGCCTGGGAATGGTGGTACAGATATTCCTCAGACATTCATCTTGTAAAAGTCACCCATTCAGGGAGTAAATTCCTGCAAGGAAAGAACTGGCTTTTGTGATTCACCGCCCATGATGGCCTCTTTTTGGATCCTTGTGGGAAAATTGTACTACCTCCCACCCCACCAACTGTGAAGGATTTTTGCGAATTGCTTGTGAACGCACACCAGAATAGATCTAGTTTGTGGTTAGTGTATTTAGTCTAGTTGCAAGATATTTAAGGAAGATCTGCTGAAGGCATACAAGCGCCGTTTCTAAGTTTATCTAACTGAACAAAGTACTCAGTCTATGTCCATCTTGTATATCAGCATCCTTGCTGATTGCCTGATTGACAACGGAAAGGTCATTTTCTCCCAGTATTTATGAACTTCTTCAGCACAGCATTTGAACACCACAAGGTATGTTCTAATGGTAAGTAGCAGTATAAAAATAACTTGCCCTTTTCCTAATTCTGAACATTTTATTCCTTGTTTAATAGGTAGTTTGTGTTAAGACAGCCAATTTGGGATTTTATAAAACTACAGAGACTGGAGTTTAGAGATGTGTTTAACTCAGAAAATTCAATTCCGTGTTTCAAAAAACAAAACAAGAACAAGTTTGTACAGTTTTTGGATGCAGAATTGTGGCTTGAGCCATTTTTAAAGACCTTCTATTTATCTTGTCTGTGATATTATAGTCAGGGTGTTCCATAAATTAATTTAATCATATGAAAGTAAACTAGCATTTATGAGTAAATTAGGAATAGAACCTTGTATTCAGACACACACACACATTTCTTTGTGATTAGACACGCCTTAAAGTTATGCTACTCTATTACTCATTGATAGATGGTGCCCCCTGCTGCTTGTAGTAGTATATAAATCGCTCAGATTTGAAGAACAAGTAGTCTTGTGGCACCTTAGGGTATGTCTACACTGGGGAGTTATTTCAAAATAACCCCCCTTATTTTGAAATAACAAAGCAAGCATCCATACTACGAACCCTATACTTTTGAAATAATAACTCCTGTTTGTGAAGAGAAATAAGCTTAGTTTGGAATAGTTATTTCAAGAGTTGTTATTTTGAAATAACTTATTTTGAAATAACCTAATAGTGCAGACATAGCTTTAGAGATTAAAACCCAGAAAGCTCATGATCCTATATACTTCTGTTAGTCTCTAGCATGCCAGAGGACTACTTGTTGTTTTTAAAGTTACAGATTAACACAGCTACCCCTCTGGGGGTATGTCTACACTGCAACACTATTTCGGGATACCAGAGTATCCCAAAATTGCTATTCCATGTCTTCACAGCAAGCCTATTATTTCGGGGTCTCTATTTTGACGTCCCTGTAAATCTCATTCTACGAAGAGTAAGGTACATTTCGGGATAGCGCTTTCATTCGAAATTTAGCATGGTGTAGACAGCACCAAATGATGAAATAAGCTATTTTGAAATAGCATCAAAATAAGATACACAATTTGCATAGTTCAAAATTGCATATCTTATTTCGAGTTCAGTACAGTGTAGATGCACCCTGAGACTTTCAGACTGGAAGAACTCTGTGTAATTCAAATCTTGTATCTTTGACCAATGGAAGTTAGTATAATAAAAGATATTACCCCAGACCATTTTGTTTCTCAATGTGTGTACAAAGCCTTATGCACATATTGTACGTTCATAAATCTAGTGTTTAAAGCGCACAGTATAAAATGTTGGCATTTCACTTCAGTTGTGTAGTGATTTTTTAATTTACTCATATTATGATGGAAATAATATAAATGGTTGGTTTAATCAAACTTTCACCACTGCCTCATCAGGGTGAAGTCTTACATTGCAAAGTTTATGTTGTACTGGGTAAACTAAACATTTGCTCCCTTATAAGAACCAACTAAGTGTCAGAATGTAAGTGGCCACTGATACACTGTATCTTCTGGATAAGGAAGCAGAAAATCACATATAAACAAACCTTGGATAAACATTCTTAATAAAGGCTGTGAAGTAACTTTTTCAACTCAGTTGGTACAATTTATATGAGTAACAACTGTAACGCATTATCCTGTGTCTGTTTCTGCAACTTACTGTTCACTTATGCCTCATCAGGACAAAAGAAAATAGAGTTCCAAGCTTTCAGGATTCCAAATAAGTAAGAATATGTGCACATGAGTATGGTTAATTTTTATGCATAATTGCTCCACCTTGCACATGCAGATATGTCATTTTCACGCAGAGTTGCAGAAACTGTTAAACATTTTTTTTTTTTTTTTTTTTGCAAAGAAATTTCTGAAAGTCTAGGTCTTTTTTAAAATCCAGGGATTTAAGCTGCATTATGAAGTTAGACACAAAGAGCCAAATGTACGCTTGGTTTAACTCCACAGAAATGACCCCTCACTGAAGGATGCCAGTTTAGCTGACCAGAGGCACCCTTAGCTTAGCTCCCAAAGTCAAAGTCCAGTTTTCAACACCCCATTTTCCCCATAATACAAGTCCTTCCCATAGCAGTAAAGGCCTCCGTCCTTTTCAAAGGAGACTGTCATCTTGAATCCAGGGAGAGCCTTGTGTCTTAGAGCATCTTTGTCTGTAAAGTGGTAGCAACTGCACATGGACATTCCACACAATGTATTTCCTTACAGAATTAAGGAAATCATCTGTAAACACTTGGAAGGAGGCAACGTGATAGGGAACAGCCAGCATGGATTTGTAAAGAACAAATCCTGTCAAACCAATCTGAAAGATTTCTTTGATAGGATAACGAGTCTTGTGGATAAGGGAGAAGCGGTGGATGTGGTATACCTAGACTTTAGTAAGGCGTTTGATATGGTCTCGCGTGATATTCTTATCAATACACTAGGTAAATACAACTTAGATGGGCTACTATAAGGTGGGTGCATAACTGGCTGGATAACCATACTCAGAGAGTAGTAATTAGTGGTTCACAATCCTGCTGGAAAGGTATAACAAGTGGGGTTCCGCAGGGGTCTGTTTTAGGACTGGATCTCTTCAATATCTTCATCAACAATTTAGATATTGGTATAGAAAGTACGCTTATTAAGTTTGCAGATGATACCAAGCTGGGAGGGGTTGCGACTGCTCTGGAGGATAGGGTCATAATTCAAAACGATCTGGACAAATTGGAGAAATGATATGCGGTAAACAGGATGAAGTTTAATAAAGACAAATGCAAAGTGCTCCACTTAGGAAGGAACAATCAGTTTCACACATACAGAATGGGAAGCGACTGTCTAGGAAGGAGTACGGCAGAAAGAGATCTAGGGGTTATAGTGGACCACAAGTTGAATATGAATCAACAGTGTGATGCTGTGGCAAAAAAAGCAAACACGATTCTGGGATGCATTAAGAGGTGTCTTGTGAGCAAGACACAAGAAGTCATTCTTCCGCTCTACTCTGCGCTGGTTAGGCCTCAGTTGGAGTATTGTGTCCAGTTCTGGGCACCACATTTCAAGAAAGATGTGGAGAAATTGGAGAGGCTCCAGAGAAGAGCAACAAGCAGGCCTCGACAATCTATATAATCTACTCGCCCGTGGCAAGTAGATTACATCCCAGAAGAGCCGGGTTTGGGCGATCTGCGCATGCGCAGAACAATCTGCGCATGCGCAGAACAATCTGCACATGCACAGAACACCAGACAGCATGGCTGGTGGGCGGGGCTTGCCGCGGCTCGGCAAGCCCTGGCAACAAGAATGATTAAAGGTCTAGAGAACATGACTTATGAAGGAAGGCTGAAAGAATTGGGTTTCTTTAGTTTGGAAAAGAGAAGACTGAGGGGGGACATGATAGCAGTTTTCAGTTATCTAAAAGGGTGTCATAAGGAGGAGGGAGAAAACTTGTTCATCTTGGCCTCTGAAGATAGAACAAGAAGCAATGGGCTTAAACTGCAGCAAGGGAGGTTTAGGGTGGACATTAGGAAAAAGTTCTTAACTGTCAGGGTAGTCAAACACGGGAATAAATTGCCCAGGGAGGTTGTAGAATCTCCATCTCTGGAGATATTTAAGAGTAGGTTAGATAAATGTCTATCCGGGATGGTCTAGACAGTATTTGGTCCTGCCAAGAGGGCAGGAGACTGGATTCGACAACCTCTCGAGGTCCCTTCCAGTCCTAGTATTCTATGATTCTATGATTTCCCTCTAATGGCAGAGGTCCCGAATGTAACACGAGCTAATCAGCAGCCAGATCAGGCTCAGTAGCCAATGCTTTTATTTGAAACTCTGTAAAACTGAAGTGTACAAAATAATATTTAAACAGTTCAGTCCTCAGGTCCCGCTTTACCATTAAAATCTGCCTATGGCTCCAGGAAACTGTTGGCACACGTGCAGAAACAAGCATTCTGCACTGTCTAATTTAGTGGTTTTTAAATGAGGGGTCGCAACCCAGCATTGGGTCGAGAAATGTTGGGCACTGGGTCTCGTCGCTGCAGGGTGATCAGGTGACCAGTGGGGGTGCTAAGGCAGCTCCTTGCCTGTCCTGGCACTACAGATTGTGCTGTGCTCCAGAAGCGGCTGCCAACAGCCCTGGCTCCTAGATGGGGGGGCAGAGCACACAGGGCTCCATGCAATGCCCCTGCCCTGAGCATTAGTTCTGCACTCCCATTGGCTGGGAACCTGCTGCTGGCTGCTTCTGGGGCACAGCCTGGTCTGAGGTGCCAGGAGAGGCAGGAAGCTGCCTTAGTACCCTTGCTGCACCGCTGACCGTCCCCCCCCAATCTGGAGCCCCCTCCAACACACCAAAGCTCCTCCTCAGCCCCACCCTGGAACCCACTCTAGTCAAATTATGTTGGGTCGTGGGCACCAACCATTTTCTTCAACTGGGTCATGAGAAAAAAAAGTTCGAAAATTACTAATTTACTCTGAGCAGTGTCTTGTTACTATTGCTGCACAGAGTTACTATTGCTGTACGCGTGGCATTTATCGTCTCCCCATCCTGTTAAGAGCACGGCTTCAAAGAGCGACGGAATTGACTGTTGCAGGGAGAGGGGCTGTTGCTACACTTCAAAGGCAGAAGCGCCCTTAACTAATCGAATAGTCAATGCAAATTGCATCAGCTATTCGATTAGCCAAACAATCGAAATTTTACATAGATAATGTCCAACCTAAATCTTCCCCAGTGCAATTTAAGCACTTTGCTTCCTGTTCTATCATCACATGCTAAGGAAAATATATTTTTTTCCTCTTCCTAAAAGCTGTTTTGCAATTTAAGCACTTTGCTTCTTGTCCTATCATCACATGTTAAGGAAAATATTTTTTTTTCCTCTTCCTAAAATCTGTTATACTGTACCCTCTCCCTCTTCTCTTTTCAAAATAGGTAAACACATTTCTTTCAGTCTTCTCTCATAGCTCATGTTTTCTAGACCTTTAATTATTTTTGTTGCTCTTCTCTTGACCTTCTCCAATTTGTCCACAACGTTCCTGAAATGT